CACCCAATTAAACAACTAATTCTGTACATGATTAAAACACACTACATGTAATCATCTTAACCTGTAAATGAGCATGAACAGTTCAGATGTCACCTACTCTTTCTCCATCATGTCTCTCATACTCTGGTACTCCTGTCTCTGTTTGAGCTCCATTAACTCTTCGTAGCGTTTGAGCTGCTCAGACTCACAGATGGAGACTGTGGCCACCAGCCGCTCCTGCTGCTCCTGTCTGAGACTCAGCTCCGCCTGTGAGAGAAAACACACGTGCATTATTAAAAGAAGCTTCTTCTGTTCACCAAGGCTGCCTTTATTTAATCAAAAATACTGTAAAAATGTGAAATATTATTACAATTTAAAATAGCTGTTTTCTATGTGAATATCTGTTAAAGTGTAATTTATTCCTGTGATCAAAGCTGCATTTTCAGCATCATTACTCCAGTCTTCATCATTCTAATTTCTAATATGCTGATTTGCTGCTCGAGAAACATTTCTGATTATTATCAATGTTGAAAACAGTTGTGCTGCTGAATATTTTTGTGGAAGCTGTGATACATTTTATTTTCCAGGATTCTTTGATGAACAGAAAGTTCAAAAGAACAGCATTTATTTGAAATAGAAATCTTTTGAAACATTCTAAATGTCTTTAATGGCACTTTTGATCAGTTTAATGCATCCTTCCTTGCTGAAAAAAGCATTAATTTCTTTAAAAAATAATTTATTGTACAAAAAAGGTTCCAGATGTGGTACCTTTGCTTTGGCCTTGTGTTTGTGCTCACACATGCGGATACAGCCGGCCATCTGTGTGGCTTTGGGTGACAGGACGGAAATTGCTGGAGGTGAGCTGATGCTTGCTGCAGGACTCACAACAGGAGCCTCCTTTATTTCTTCTGCTTTCTGAGATCAAAAATGAATGAAAACAGAAAAAAAAATCAGCATTGCACTCCTTTGCCAACACAAACTCAAGCAAGAAACAGAACAATAGATACAGTTGAGGACAAAAGTTTACATACACTTTGCAGAACCGGCAATTATTTTACCAAAATAAGAGGGATCATAAAAAATGCATGTTATTTTTTATTTAGTTCTACTGACCTGAATGAGATATTTCACATAAAAGACGTTTACATATAGTACACAACAGAAAAAAATTGTTGAATTTATAAAAATGACCCCTTTCAAAAGTTTACATACGCTTGATTCGTAATACTGTCTTGTTACCTGGATGATCCACAGCCTAAATATCATATTTTTTCATTTAGTACTGCCCTTCAGAAACTACAGAAAATACATGTTTCCTAGGAGATTAAATAAGTTACATTTACCCTGATCTTCAAATTCAGATTGAAGACCCCCTCCTCCTTCCTTCCTCAAAATCAGCTGGAAAGGGGTCAAATACACAAAAATGTTGAAAAACCAAAGACTTTGTGGGACCTGAAGGATTTTTCTGAAGAACAGCGGGCAGTTTAACTGTTCAGGACAAACAAGGGACTCATGAACAACCATCACAAAAACAAAACAAAACTGTGGATCATCCAGGTAACAAGACAGTATTACGAATCAAGGGTGTGTAAACTTTTGAAAGGGGTCATTTTTATAAATTCAACTATTATTTTCTCTTGTGGACTATATGCAAACGTCTTTTATGTGAAATAAAAAATAACATGCATTTTGTACGATCCCTCTTATTTTGGTAAAATTATTAACATTTTGCAGATTCTGCAAGGTGTATGTGACCTCAACTGTATATATGAGAATTATGATATAAACTATTAAAGTCGAAATGAAAGAGAAGTAGCGAAAGACGTACATCATCAGAGTATATCAGATTATCAAAAAAGAAAAAAAATGTAGGGCGGGGTTTGGTTCTATGCATCCAAGTTGTTGATTGGATGTTGAGATGTTTGTATGCAGATGAGCGTGAGCTTGTGGGGGCGGAGCTTAAACAGACAGCAGGGTGGCCGATGACCAAATCTGTTAATCAAACAAGCATGAGACTAATTATTACAATTCAACTTAAACTACAAATTATGTTGCAGTTCCCGATAAAGCTGGCCAAAGCTGTTATTTAAGTGCAAGCTCATACTTTTGTACTTTTCTTATCAAATCTGAAACTTTGTATTGCAACATTCAAGTTACTGTCTCTTCAGAATGAATGTGTCTGCTGGGGTTTGGTTCTATGCATCCAAGTTGTTGATTGGATGTTGAGATGTTTGTATGCAGATGAGCGTGAGCTTGTGGGGGCGGAGCTTAAACAGACAGCAGGGTGGCCGATGACCAAATCTGTTAATCAAACAAGCATGAGACTAATTATTACAATTCAACTTAAACTACAAATTATGTTGCAGTTCCCGATAAAGCTGGCCAAAGCTGTTATTTAAGTGCAAGCTCATACTTTTGTACTTTTCTTATCAAATCTGAAACTTTGTATTGCAATACTCAAGTTACTGTCTCTTCAGAATGAATGTGTCTGCTTAACGAATGCACAAAACCAAGTCATGAATTTTGTGGTTTAAGAAGTGAGGACGTCACCTTCTGCTCATCCTCCTCAGCGTGGATGGAGACCGGAGGCGGAGAGGTGGGAGATGAACTCTGTCTGGGGCTGATGGGAAACGAAGCGCCGGCGGCAACATCTTCTGAAAGCCCGGGACTCGTATCACGAACGCATGAAGTCAGAGAGCAGGTCTTGAGCCGCGGATGAGGACTCAGTCTCTTCAGAATCTGTCCTGAGAGAGGAGACAGACTGGACACCTCCATACAGCCCGCCAGAATATCCTGCAAAACAGATCAGGAAAAGACAAAACTGCATTTAATACATTTAATTTAACATTTAATTCCTTTATAAAATATTTTATAACAACAATTTTATTATAAACTAACACTTTGCGTTATGGTTTTAGTTGAATAAAAGCTAAAATGTCAAACAAATGCCATCATTCCATCTTAAAATGTTATAACAGAGAAGAATGAAGTACATTTCTTTACATATTTCTTGTCTTTCAATAAAATAACATTTTAATCCTTTGTAAAGTACTGAAAAGCTAATACCTACACTGCCGTTCAAAAGATTTGTAATATTTTAGTAGAAGTCTCTTCTGCTCATCAAGGCTGCGTTTATTTGATCAGAAATAAACAGTAATATTGTGAAATATTATTACAATTTAAAATAATGTTTTTCTATTTTAATATACTTTAAAATAGAATTTATTCCTGTGATGCAAAGCTGAATTTTCAGCATCATTACTCCAGTCTTCAGTGTCACATGATCTTCAGAAATCATTCTAATATGCTGATTTATTACAGTATTTTTTGGGATCCTGTGATACTTTTTTCAGGATTCTTTGATGAATAAAAAGTT